ATTAGTTGAAGATATTTATTTTTGAAAAATTAAAATCTTTAGATGAAGAAAATTTGAAAAAACATTGTCTTAACCTTGAAAATATTTTAAAACATGATGAATTTACTGATATTGATGACTTAGATTTACTTTTAGAATTAAAAATTTTAAAATAAGTTTAAAAAATTGAAACTAACACTCCAATTGAAATACTATACTACATAAAAAAGACTAGATTCTTTTTTGAATGAACGCATCGCTTATAGAATTTTGTTAACAATACCAGTAACAATTACTTTAGCAAAAAAGATCTTTACAAAACTTAAGATAAAATTTTGTTTAAAGTCAACTATGTCTTAAGAAAGATTAAATGTATTAGTTATATTATATATTGAGAAAGATTTGTTGACAAACTTTTTTTTTTTTTTGAGAAACAACGATAGTAATTTATTGAGCAACACAAGATATATCATTGTGGAGAGAAACATAATAGAAATGACGGAATCTCTTCCTTGCACAGCACAGAAGTATTTGAGTTAATAACAAATTTCGCTAAACTATGAACAACTTCACTTCCCTTCTTGCATATCCAAATCAATGAGAAAGATTGAAACCTCGTCTTCAACACATTAATTTGGTCTATAAAGTTACCCGCTTAAGGTAAAATTGTCTGCTCATGTGAAATAGTTTAAATGAAAGACTTGGAAACGCTCTCAAGCATTTTGTTAGATAACCCAAGATCAAATACCAATTGCACCACAGAAAGAGCGGCAAAGGCCTCTACATTAATTGCACTTAAGACGCCTTCAATTTTCTTACTTAGACCAGCCAAAAAATTTCGATGGCTGTCCCTAATAACAACACCCATACTAGAGCAAGCTGAAGAGCTGAAAACCTCCCCATCAAAGTTAATTTTGCAAGTTCCTGCTGAGTGGTGCTGTCCATAGGGGCGATCTCTCACAAGCAAATGAAACAGGAGAACTTACTCCCGAATGATTAATGGTATGAAAATGATGAATCTACTCCCTTGAGAACTGGCCTATTTCCTCCAGGGATCTAGAGCAATGTTCAACTCGAACCTTGTTTCGATCGAACCATATAGCCCATGTAATGACATCAATCAATACTACTTCATTAGATGACAGCTTCTAAGAAATACCAGTGCATTAAGTCAAACAATAAAAATAAAAATACCAGTGAATTAATAAAAAATCAGAAAATTAAGCCCAAAAAAATATATATAAAAAACTCTATAAAATCATGCACCAATACGACACCTCAACATATAAAGCCAATACAAATAACCCATAGTTCTTTTACCTGGCGGAGGCTTATACGCACCAACCTTACAGGCTTTGCCGAATTCAAGTTTCATTCCATTTGATTTGGATTCATTTCGGTTATGGGCATTTTAGTCTATTTACAAAGTAAAGGGTAATTTTGACATTTTAAAAGAATATCAACTCAAATAGTTTACTTTTCCGCTTGTCCGAGACGGTTGTCAACGGAAGGGTAAATGTTGTCCCTGGCAATTTAAGCAGCTGTTGTCTGACTATAAATTTGGCAGTCCAAACTGTGGAGTGGAAAATTGACAACACTGTGTTTGTACAATCACAATCCTTACCGGCCCATCCTTACCGACCATTTTGACACCGACACAGCATTCGATTTTTTGTTAATGTTTTAAATTTACTGTTCCTTGACAAGCCAAAGGCTCTTAAAAGAGTAGTTTATTGGGTTGCAGCAATGATGGTATCTAACCCATTTCGGTTGAGTTGGGTGAGTTGTCCTCCCCCGAGGTTTAGGCTTTCTTATTTTCTGATTGTAACTAGAACTGTCTTACCTAATGAATTTTTTGCATTGTTCCTTTCAGGAAAAAAAAAAAAAAAAAAGAAGATAACGAGCATACACCTATTTTACTTTTTCCATATGATACTAACTTTTATCTTTTCGGTATTGAAGCCAACTCTGGATTCAATGTTTTGAAGTCACGGAAGTGGAACGTCTGAAGCGAAAAAAGCAGCAGAGCATGACGACATTTTCTCACATCTCCTTTTCAACGTTTGTCTTCTCCTACTTTACTCTTCTTTTCTCAAAGTACACTCTATTTTTTGAATCCCAAATATGGACTTGATTATCGTACCAAAATTCAAAATTTTGGTATGATATCAAAATTTATTGTAATAATTTTTATCACATTTGTAGTTAATTTTATCACTAGTGGTAAAAATAATTATCACAACAGTGATAAAAATACTTATAAATATGATAAAAACACTCAAAAAAGTGATAAATTACCTACAAAAGTAATAATTTTTTTTTACTTAAAAAAATGATAAAAATTGTTATCACAAATGTAATAAAAACACTTATAACAGTAGTAAAAATATTCACAAAAATAATAAATTAATCACCAAAAAAAAAAAAGAAATGGTCTGGTACCGTTAAATTTCATAAATTTTGTGGGTTTAGATAAAAAAAATTAGGTTTGTTTACAATATAAAATTTTTTGGGTCAATTTTTAGGATTGATTCTAAGCTACCACAAAATTGTAAATGACACCAAGTTGTAAAGAAAAAAAAAATATATAAAAGTGGTACGATATCAAAATTTTATTTTTCTCCACCATCGACTTCTCCATTTAGAAGGAGGGTACCTTGAAAAATGAAAAAATATTTCAAACTTCCACCACCCCTAAAATTATTTTTTACTCTGAGATATTGACATTGTTAATATATGATACGATAATAATGCAGAATGAATAACAGAGGGTTGAATTCGTTGTTGTAGGCCACTTATAATTTAGTAACCCATACACATAGTCTTTACAACTTCTAACCGTTTGGCCATCCATAAAATCATTTTTAAGATGAGTAGTTTTTATTCTTTAATATACACAATAAATAAATAGGACAAAAAATCTGTAACTAAATATTAAAAAATTTAAACTCAATTATAGTGGAAATTAAATGAAAAGTTCTAAAAGCTTTATTCTGACACAAACTTGGTGATAACAAAACAAAATGGATAGGTCAGAATTCAGGGATACAGCTCCAGGGCCATAACGCCAGTCAAAGCTGACCCACAACGCCCTCTGTGCTGCCGAACTGCCCAATTGTTTTGGCACGACCTGAGACACAACACCGGCATAACACGTGATATATTTACCCTTTTGATGTCTGCTTTTAATGTAGATAATAGATTATGTTATAAATACTCTCGGTACTTGTTTTTATTGTGGACACTTCTTCTAATGTAACGGTGATATCATATTAGTGTTGATGTTATAGTATCACCAATTAATATTAAAATTTTAAGTAGGCAAAATGAACTCCACTTTAACTTACATAGATGAAGAGTGGGGGTATGACCATTGTAATGAATATTTTTCCCTCATACAGACATTTTGGTTGGTGCGAAGATATCTATAACTACACCTATCCAACGATCCTTTTGCCCAAAAGTTGATTTCAATAGTTAATGGACAACTCAAATCGTTTCTTTCTCATTCTCTTATTCTATTAATCTCTTTTGACTACACTAATATAAACATGTGTGTCAACGTACTTTATCGCCCTACCTATAATATGTATTTTTAATAATTATTTAGTTATGTTCATATTATTATACCATAAAATTTTCGGGTCTCATCTATTATCTCTACCTACGGCCCATTTGTATAGGCCGCCCCTGGACTTATAACAATCCTGAATATTGGTTTTGAAAATAAAATACCGGAATTGGATAAGATGCAAACTGTGCTCTGATTATTTTTTTTCGAACTTTGGCTCTTCATCTTCGCTGAAACATAATGCATTGCTTTGGTTTTGCTGATTCAAACCAGGGAAAGAGAGAAATAAAATAGCATCTTAAATATGTTTTAGTCTTCAAAATCAATTTCGATTAAAGATTTTTTTATGCGTTAAACTTGAACGGCAAAACTAAATTGGTATTTTTATATCTTAATTGTATTAGAGGTCTCTAAAGTATGAGATTTGTGTCGTTTTGATCCCAAATATTTCAATTGTATCATTTTGGTCCCTGAATTATTGAATATGTTTCTAAATGGTTCTTCAAGTAAACAACATTCAAATTATTAACAATTTTTTATTCTAAATGATTCTTTAAGCAAACAACGTTTATATTGCTAACGATTTGTCATTATAAACTTGTCATGTAAGAACTAAATATGAATAAAAAATAATTTTGATAATTCTTAAACAAAATTTAAATAGCTCTTAACTAAAAAATGTATAATATAGGTAGCTTTTGACCAAAATTTAAAAAACTTATGACAAACTATGTAATTTAGATAAGAGTTAAATTCGGACAGATTGAAGGGTCAACCCTAGTTCAACCTTACGTACATAATCTTCAACTTGAACCCGAACCCGACTTCAACCCGAAGTATTCAACCCAAGTACTACGCAAGTTAAGTTCGGATAAACTGGGGTTGAATTCAAGTTTTTTAATTTGGACTAATTATGAGTTACAATTCGGGTTACAAGTTACACAAAAAATTATGAAATTAAACCAAAAGCTCAAAGACACCTCTCATCGGTTTTTGAGGAGAGAAGGCATACTCCTTGGGTTCCATCACTCTACCAATTATAGCGGGTACAACACCGAGAAGCTCCACCATAATAGTAAATTTCTTAGTGTTGGATTCCCTGTTTTCCTAAAACATCATTTTAGGCCATCTTGCACTAAACACCTTGAGGGGTGTCATCTATTTATCACCTCATTCTCTGTTTTCTAACGTCAAGTGCAATTAGTGAAATTAGAGGAGATCAAGTTGTTGCTATGTTAGCTTGAGATATAACCAGATTAACATATATCTTCTAGACATGGAGAAAACATCTTTTATCGCTCCCAAAGGAATCTATTGTTACATGATCATGTACTTTGGGCTCAAAAATACAGGAACAACATACCAGCGATCGATAAATAAGATGTTTTAGTCACAAACCGAAACTCCTCGTATCTCTATCTCTCTGAAATCGAAGTGTCCCACAAAGACGATGGCCGAACTGAAGCTTGCCCATGAAGACAAAATCAAAGCTTCTCATCCTAGATCTCTTTCTCTCAACTTCAATCGGTTGTTGTGTGGTGGGTTTCCTCATCTCAGATCTCTTTCTCAAGTCGGTAATTGGTTGGTAGGTTTCCTCGAAGAAGGTGCTCTTGTCTGCCCTGAGATAGGCCAAATATTTTCTGTCAATAAGGGGATTCCCGATATGCTTCTTCATGGAGACGAGGTCTGATTGAAAAATTTTCCGTCATTTGTATTTAAAGTTTGTTGTTTTGATGGTGCAGATTATGGTTTGAAAGAAAGAAAAACCAGGGTTTTAGCGGGTTTATTGGGGTGCTTTATATCAGGTGTTATCCATAAGGGAGTTTTGAATGATTGAGAAAGTGATTATTAGAGTTTAGTTTTGTTGAAGAATATTGCTTATTTGTGTTCTTATTCTGTTTAATTATGGTAGTGCAAATTTTATTTTTTCTTAAAAAAAAAAAAGGTGGTTGTGGTGGGTTTTCAGTGGTGTTGGTGGTGGGTTGAGCGGTGAGTTTTTGGTGGTTGGGTGGTGGCTAAACAAGGTGGTAGATTTTGAAATGGTGGAGATGATGGTGGCTAGGTGTGATGGGTTTTGAATAATTTGAGTGAAGATGTATCTGGGATTAAAAAATGAATCAAAATAATCACAATGAATTATGGAAACACTACTACAATATCAAACATATTTTTTATTTTTATTTTCATAATTATTTAAATATAAATGACTATCAAACATATTTATATTTTTAATTTTTATCAAAAAAAAAAAATCTTATTCTATTTTTTTCTAAAAGAAAAACGTTACCAAACACACCTTAACTAAATTAATTTTTTTATATGCCAACGTAGATAATAGTTAAAAGTACTGTATACCAATATCATAACGAAGTTTAAACTATTCACAAATGTGAACAAGAAAAGTAGTAGATTGATGCCTCATCTTGGTAGTTAGACACGGAACACGCTTGCGCAATTTGCTATAAAAAAAAAAAAAAAATCAGAATCGTATACATGACAGGCTAAAAATCTGATCAAATCATGTGATAATTAACATAATTTAATAATTTTTTTAGTGGAATAAAAATAAATGCTACATTATTAGGTCTGAGTATTATGTCTATATTTAGATCTCAATACGTTTTTTTTCTTGTAAATCATAAAAGTTAGAAACAATCACCAACTCATTATTTTTTTTCTCATGTTTCGAGTACTCAAATAATATGATTTTTGAATTGAGGTACTAAATTAGATATTAAAGTTTGATTATTTTTTTATTTAATATTTTGCTTACAATATATTTGCAACAATACTTTTATAAAAAGAAGTTTTCAAATATTAAAATTGATATAATCTTGTTTTAAATTGATTATGCTATGAAAAAAATTCAGTAAATTAATTTTACTATTAATTTAAAATAAATATTTAATTAATAACTTTGTACTTTGAAAAACAACGTCATATCTAGGGGTGATAATTGTATCATGTTGAGTCGTGTTCATATTAAGTTATTTTGGATTAATGTCATGCACAAGTTAAGCTTAACTCAACCCATTTAACAAATAGTGTCATGTTGTCTCGTGTCGTATTGACTTATTTTCGTGTTGACCTATACAACGTGTAAATAAAAAGTTTAATATTATCACTTAATTGAAGCTATGAACATACATTTATTATAAACTAAAAATTGATTTAATAAATGTATAAGTGTTTTTTTGGTACAAGAATTAAGTCATTACTTGATAACATATAATAAAAAATTAATATTTTATTGGTATAATATATTACTTAAACGTATTAATTATGTCAATTTTGTGTTGTTTGTGTTTAATATTAACCCAAATTATTTATTATTCATGTTAACGAATCGTGTTATATACAAGTTCTTATCAAGAAATGGTCAACTCTAATCCACTAATTTTGAGTTTAAGTCGAGTTTTCGTGATGTATCACAAATTACCATCCTTTCATATCCATTAAGACGACGTCATCTAGCCGAGTTCCGTGACTATAAATACAAGTGGATCAACAGAGGAGGAGGTAGTAATACTAATACTAATAAACCCAAAAAGACAGGCATAAAGTTGCAAAATGCTGTCCATGCGATTCCCACTTGTTCCTACTCATAAGAACACTACTACTCTCTCTCATCATCTCCAAAACAAACCATTTTCTTCTGTTACCAGTGACCGTGACCTAGCAAAAAGAAACAGAAGAATCAGATGGAACTTTGGCCCTTCAATTTCTTCTCCCAGATTTCGCCAGCTTCTTGTGAATGGAGTATTAGTAGTACCACCACAAGAAGAAGAAGAAGAAGAAGAAGAAGAAGAAAGAAGAAGAAGGTGAAGTAGGAAAAAAAGGACCGGCAGAAGTGGAATTGCCGGCCGGCCTCCGGCAAGAACTAATGCCGAAACATGTGGCCGTGTCTCCGGATGGCCACAGGAGGTGGGCCCGGAAGAGGGGTTTACCGATGGACGAGGGTTATAGGGCCCTTGGACGGGGAATGGCGGACCTCATTCGACTCTGTTGCAAATGGGGAGTTCCAGTCCTCACATTTTTTGCATATTCTACCGAGAATATGAGTCGTTCCAAAGTCAGTGTTACTGTTGCTTCTTCGATCACAAACGGTTACTTTCATATATACTGCCCTTTTTTTTAAAAAAAAAATAATAATATTAATAGTATTTTCTTTTTTTGTTAAACATGCTTATATTAGTATTAGAAATTCAAGATCAACCAACGAATTTATGTTGGAGAAAGCTAACGAATTTTGTATAAACTAAAGCACTTTTTTTTCAAGAAAAAAAATATGATTTGTTATGAATTCAGTGCAAATTATCCAAAGCCATGTATATATATATACTGAGAGAATTACACTCAAACTTCTGATATTTGTCACTTAATCACTTAGACCTCTTAGACCCTTGTTTGTCGTCAATGTTCGTTAGTATATGTGTTAACAAATCACACTCAGACCCCTAAAGTTTGTAGGCGTGTAATATTTAGACCCTTCAAATTTAAAATATAATACTTAAACTAAAAATACTCAAATCAAAGATAAAATATCAAATATTTTAAATTTTACAACCATTAATCATGTTCTATTATGTTATTTATTGAAATAAAATTAAAAATAAAAATATTATTTTTTCTTAAAAAATCATAATTATTATACAATTATACTATCTATTGAAATTTAATTTGGTCGTTTAAATGATCAAATTAAACTACCAAATTACCCCAATTAAAATTGGAAGATATTGTGTCAATTACAGTTTGACCAATTGTTTGATTTTTTAGTTTTATTCTAATAGATAGTTAATTGTATACTAATTATTTTTTTTTTTAAAATAGATTTTTATTTTTAATCAATAATATTATAGAACTTGAATTTTGATTGTATAATTCATGTTGTATTACGAATGACTTAAACCCCTTATTTGATTTTTTACAAATTATATATTAATTACAAATTTTTCTTGTAAAATTTATAATATTTGATATTTTATCTTTGATTGAAGTATTTTTGATCTAAATATAACATTTGAAATTTGAGGGATCTAAGTATTATACACCTACAAACTTTGTGGAGTCTGGAAGTAATTTATTAATGAATATAGTAACGGACATTAACTATAGGGGTTAAATGTTATGCGCGTACAAACTTTAGGAGGTGTGTATTTAATATTTTAAATATTAAAGAGCCTAAGCAATTAAGTAAAAAATTTCAGGAGGTCTGAGTGTAATTCTCTTTATATACTTCTAATGAAATTAAATTTGTTTTGTATGACCGAGACCCTTGGTATTTTCAGACTTTTTAAAGCAATCAACCCAACTGCGCAGCTTGTACTCCCTTCCTCTTCTCCATTCCTTCTTTTTTTGAAGCATACACATGAGAAAATTACCATCAAGAAGTTTTATTTATTTCTTTCTTTCTGTATTCTTGATAGTTTATATGTTCTTTTGTTTCTAATCTTTCCTGCCCCCCTTATTTTTTAACATTACAAATTTCGATTGTACAAGCGCACTAGAATTTATAGCTTTAGGGGAGTAAAAATAGCATTTAATCTTAAATTTTTATTTTATTGCCTCAAAAAACTCCTATTGCCTTCTAAAAAATTTAAGTGGCAGAATATCTCCCAAAACACCAATTCTTTTTATGTACTTGCCATTTTTGTACAAAAAGATGAACAAGCAAACAACACCTCTCTCATCATGGTGTTTTGTTAGGCTTTTAATCTATAAGAGGAGAATGTGAATACTTCAAAATATTTTATGGCGAAAAGTGTCACTAGTTTTTAATTTCTTTTGAATTTGTTAATTAATTAATTATTCTTTTATGATAAATAGAATTATCTTACGTTTCTTAACAATAAGTTTGATACGACTGCAGGAGGATGTTGACAGTTTTATGAACTGGTGCGAAATGTGGATAAAATCAGTTGCTATGGAGAAGTGGATGAGGTACTTTTGAACAGAGTTATATAAAATTTTCAAATTTTATTCAGTGTGATTGCATGAATGCATATATATACATTGTTTTATTTGGTGTAATGTTGTAGTTTGTTTTGTTCTCTAGAGATATTGACTCAAAGCGATGGATGAAAACTTCTTGAGCCTACTTTTGAAGGCAAATTATTCTCAGATTTGTCGTAAAAATATTATATGCATCCAAAAGGATTGAATTGCATATTCCAAGAGGTCTAGTTGGAAGCCTTCTCCTTGCCGGTAAAAATAAAGTATAAATTATTGACTATCAATTGAAATAACCAAGCTTTCAAATTTTCTGTCGCCTTTCGATTCTCTATCTTTGTTCAAATTCGTATGCAAATCTCATAAGAAACACTACAAGAAAAAAAAGTCAAGCCAACACAAAAAGTATTGCTCATTGACGCAAACAATTTGCATCGTCTAACAAACTTTTTTGCATCAACAATGGTGAGGCTAAAAAGCCATGATGTAAGAAGTAATAGCTGACACAAACAATATTAGCATCAGCAACAAATCGACGCAAAAAATAAGAATTGCGTTAAAAGTATTTGTGCCAGCAACATGCTGATGCAAATAATACTATTTGCATTGGTATTTTGGTGGTGCAAATATTTTTTCCACATGAGAAAATGACTCTTTTGCATTGGTACCGTGCAAGTAATCTTTTTTTTAAAACAAAATAAAATAAATATAAATATAAAAAAATTCTAATATTTATAAAAGAGAAAACATCCATAAAAAATACATAACAACGTTCGTAGTTTTTATAATTACAAAATATGTAAACTAACAAATAAAAGTATGAACATATAATTAAACGAAAAAATATATATTCTTCTAATGCACCAACTACTTCTTCCCAAAGCATCATCTACTCTCTCTCCTCAACTCCTGTAAAACACACAATTTTTGTTGTTATTTTAATCAATTATACATCTAATACGTACAAAGTCTAATACAGCAACACGCACAAGGACAAAGACATGCTGCAATATGAAAATGAAAGAATGATAATAAAGAAAAAAGGAAACATGACAACAAAAAAACGATAATAAAAAATAAGAATGTCGTTGATAGCCTTCAATGGCATATTAACACCTTCGTTGGTTTCATAGTCATCGCCAAGTAAAAGCTAAAGGAAATAATTCAAACTAATGATATACCCTTTTTGTGATAACGCATTATATTTTCATTGTTGGTGAATTATATCAATTTAAGGGTAATGATATAAAAGTTGATATAACTAAACAAACTTTTCAATTGACTATAAGCTAGCTACTTCTTATGGTTCTTAAGAGTTTTATTGGACTCATCGAGTATTGGGTATCTCAGGATTTCATTTTGCAAATTGCAATGTCTTTGTGGTTGACGATAAAATTTTATCTCAACTGTCATTTATCGAATTTGCCATAAATTGCTAAGCTTTGCACAGTGTATGTTGACAATCATTTCAGTCCATTAACTTTCAATTTTGTCCTTTAATGTTCAACATAACATTAATTTTTCCAATCGATTACGGTTTTATAGTTTTTTCCATGAGGATTTCCATATTAAAGTTAGTTTGTGTTGTGGTTGTTGGTTTATTATATATTATCATCTTTGTGGCTGTTGAATTGGTGGAAGGGGACTGGAGGAATAAGGATGGTGGATTTGCATTAAATTAAAATTGATTGTTGACTTGAGCATTCATACATTCCAGAAAGTAATATTGTATTGCTTGGAGTAAACTAGTTACAAAACATGTAAGGGCGTATCCCTTCCAGGCTCACATGAGCTACAAAAGGAAAAACAAATCTGTAGGAGGTGCAGCCCGTGGGTTGTACCAACAAATAAGACAAAATGTTTAGATGGGTTAACAGCTAAAGATGCATCTTAGTAAACATTAAAGCTACTCAAGTAGACAGTTGCTTGGGAGCTGCCACTTGAACATAAGTGTTCATTGAACATAATTTCATTAATCAATTGGTAATTGTGGTAAGTACGTCTAATTGGGCTAATATTTCCGCAAGAAGTATAAAAGATCTATTCGTCCACTCCTCTAGGTGGTGTTTAGAATAATTTCTCTTGTATAATTATGTCAGAGACAATCAAACACACTTCTCACTAACAATTTCAAAAATAAGAAAGAAAAATTTCCCAAGTCTTCTCCTCCTAGTTTGTTTGTTTTATATATATAGATAGACACACAGTTAGCTATAACAAGTTTTAGTGTAGCAAATGCAATTTTTCAAATAAATGATAATTAGTTTGTTGAAGTTGGGGGTGGTTATTTAGGGGTACATGTTACAATGTAATTGGTTAATTCTGAAATTAACAATTCAAAATCCCACAACTAAAATTAGAAACAGAAGATACATAAATATATTTGGGAAGTGCCCTTCCAAAGCGATTCAATACATCTCACTCCATGTAAATTGTAAAATATGACATATGATATTCTAAATGTACCTCAAAACATCTTGTTTATTTCTGACTTGTTCTCATAATTATCCTTATATAGCTTCAAATTTGTTTAAAAATGAGCATGGACGGGCTACTATTTTCTCATATTTTGGCAGGAATAATGTTCGATTATCTGTGATCGGGGACAAATCGATGCTCCCGAATTCGCTGCAACAAGTGATATCTGAAGCAGAGGAGGCTTTAAAGGCAAACACACGACTCCATTTTATAATAGGACTAAGTTATGGTGGAAGATATGACATACTGCAAGCTTGCAAAAGTGTTGCTAGCAAAGTGAAGGATGGTCTCATTCAATTGGAAGACATCGACCAGAGCATATTTGAACAAGAACTAGAAACCAAGTGTACCAAGTTCCCCAACCCTGATTTACATATACGAACCAGTGGCGAACTTAGACTCAGCAACTTCATGTTGTGGCAAGTGCACTTCACTGAATTTTACTTTGCTAACAAATGTTTCCCTGATTTTGAGGAAGCAGATTTTATAGAGGCCTTGAACTCATATCAGAAACGAGACAGACGGTTTGGTGGGAGATAAGCTTCAGCTCAACTTTGATCTACTAGCATTCATCTCCATAACCCTTTTCTGGTTGAGGTCGAATTTCTCCCTTATTGAAAATCCATGTGGCTTTGTTAAACGCAATTCTAGAAGGGTGTTACCATAATAAAAAAATGACTCTTGGTTATTCAAGTAAAAATCCGTCATTTGTTTGGTTTTCTCTGATTCTAGGTAATTTAGCTGAAAAACCCATATTAGTCTTGTAAGCTCATGATGGAATTTAATTTGGATTTAGCTGGTTCTTTTTTTCTATGTATATATATTGTTGCCTCATCACCAAGAAAAACAAATTTTTAGAGCTTGAAATGTTTAGAGCTATATTAATTAAACCTCTATTTGGTAACGATTTTAAAATTATATTATTATTTCATTTTTAATTATTTTTTTTGAAAGTTGCGTTTGTTTGATATTTTTGCTTTTTTATTATTATTTTTTTGTTTAGATTTGCTACATTCTTCCAATCTACCTCTTAATAGTACACCTATGAAAATAGACTATTCATATCAATTATGTATTGTGATAATGTTTTTTTCATGGAGGTATTCCTATGCACTTCTTCGACATATATAGTTGTCGTTTTTAATCTTTTTTGCTTGGATTTACTCCCTTCTTCCAATTTTAATCACCATGGAGAACATAGGCTTAGAAAAACCAGACAAAAGCCGGTGGTTAGAGAGGCACCCTATTTTCATGGTGTTGCAATGCATCCAATGGATAAATTTTGGATCTAATATTTAAGAACCCAACTTTGATAGTAGCACAGATGGGTAAATATATACATATTATTGTACATATTAAAATGCAAATAGACAATTATACAATAATAATGAAGCATGCTTGCTACTTTTGAAACACTTTCCTTAAAAAGTACTTAAAAGAAGTTACCAGTTAGTAAACAAGCCAGTGTATGTGCATGTCCTCAGATATGGGGTTATTAGTGCCATAAATTAAATCAACACAAAAATATTTAAATATTACATTCTCTATTTTAAAGAGTCACTTTTACAAGTTCACTCTAACTACGATCTTTATTTTTAGCTAACTATTTCATCTAACTTTCACAAATTTCTACTAATTTGAAGGGAATTGTAACATATATATAGGGAGAGATAGAGAGAGAAAGGGGTAGAGAGAGAGTTTAGAGAGGTTGAATGACTCCCCGCATTAGGAGAGCCATTTTGGTGAAATGAAAAATAGAGAGTGGGTTAGAGATTTTTTTGTGTTTAGCTAGCTAAAATAGCTAAAAAAAGAAGGAAATAGAGAGTGAATTGAAGTTGTTCGTAATCCAATATATTGTTTTCAATTTTACATAAGAACATATTATCGACATTTGTTCATATAGGATCGACTCTGAATAGATGAGCACCCAGTCAATTATGGTGGGTGATATACAGGGGTCCAATAAAACATTGCAACTATTTAAATTGTAAGATTTTTTTTTTATTATGATTATATTACTTGACATATCATTAAATCGATGTATTAAATCCGAGTCCTAAAATTATTATTCATAACCTAATACACACCCAAACACAACCCCCAACACACACTCACCCACCCCCACCCCCAAAGATTTTTTATTAAGTGACAATCGTGTTGTGTCGTGTTGAGTCATGTTGTCTCTGGTTCATAATATTTCGTACCGCTTGACATGAATAGTCCCTAAACAAGAAACCCTTAGGCTAGGACTCTTTTTTTCTCGACCAAACCCTTTACACATAAGTCTCTCTTAAGTAAAGAATCCACCCGATCCCAATTCCAAGAAAACCAAATAAAAAATCATCTAATTTTGTAACAGATTGTACTAATTAAATGAGTTTGTTATCTCAAAAATGAGTTATTTATAATTGACAGTAACATGACGTATTTTTTGTAAGTTTATATCACTTCAAATTGTGTCAAAAATTGTGTGAATAATTATGACGCATGCTTATGACCCTATGCCTAGCACCACAAAGTATATGAATCTTACTAACATAAGCTATCTGAGTACATGCACATACACTGGCTTGTTGACTGACTGGTAACTTTTTTTAAGTACTTTTTAAGAAAATATTTCAAAAGTAGGAAGCATGCTTCATTATTATTTTATAATTGTCTATTTGCATTTTAATATGTATAATAATATTTATATATATACCCATTTGTAATACTATCTAAGTTGGGTTCTTAAAGATTAGATCCAAAATTATCCAGTTGGTTCTCTCTAACCACCGGCTTTGTCTGGCTTTTCTAAGCTTTATGTGCACCATGGCGATTAAAATTGGAAGAAGGGAGTAAATCCAAACAAAAAAGATTAAAAAAAACAACTATATATGTTAAAGAAGTACATAGGAATATCTCAATTAAAAAAACATTATCGCAATACATAGTTGACATATAGATAGCCTATTTTCATAGTTGTACTATTATAGATGCAATTAAGAGCTAGATTGAAAGAATGTAGCAAATCCAAACAGAAAAGTTCATAAAAAAGCAAAAATATCAAACAAACGCAACTTTCAAAAAAAAATTTAAAAAATAAAATAATAATATAAATATTAAAAGCGTTACCAAACGGAGGTTTAATTAATATAGCTCTAAACATTTCAAACCCTAAAATTTATTTTTCTTGGTGATAAGGCAACAATACATATAAATAATAATAATAAAAAAAGAACTAGCTAAATCTAAATTAAATTTCAACATGAGCTTACAATACTAATATGGGTTTTTCAGCTAAATTACCAAGAATAAGAGAAAACCAAATAGATGGTAGATTTTTACTTGAATTGCCAAGAATTGTTTTTTTTTTTATTTATTTATTGGGGTTATGCCCTTCTAGAATTACGTTTAACAAAGCCATATAAATTCTCAATAAGGAAGGAACTCGATCTCGACCAGCAAAGGGCTATGAAGATGAATGCTCGTAGATCAAGGCTGAACTGACGCTTATCTTCCACCAAACCATCGGTTTCATTTCTGATATGAGTTCAAGACCTCTATAAAGTCTGCTTCCTCAAAATCCGGGAAACATTTGTCAACAAAGTAAAATTCAGTATAGTGCACTTGCCACAACATGAAGTTGCTGAGTCTAAGTTCACCACTTGTTTGTATAAGTAAATCAGGGTTGGGGAATTTGGCACACTTGGTTTCTAGTTCTTCTAATATGCTCTGGTTGATGTCTTCCAATTGAATGAGACCATCCTTCACTTTGCTAGTAACGCTTTTGCAAGCTTGTACTATGTCATATCTTCCACCATAACTTAGTGCTATTATAAAATGGAGTCTTGAGTTTGCCTTTAAAGCCTCCTTTGCTTCAGAAATCACTTGTTGTAGAGAATTCGGGAGCATTGATTTATCCTTGATCACAGATAATCGAATATTATTCCTGCCAAAATATGCGTAAGTAGTAGCCCGTTCATGCTCATTTTAAACAAATTTGGAGTTATATAAGAATAATTATGAGAACTAATCAGTAATAAACAAGATGTTTTGGGGTACATTTAGAATATCATGTCATATTTTATAGGGAGGGAGATGTATTGAGTCACTTTGTAAGGTATTACATACTGCAAGCAATACAATATTACTTTCTGGAATGTATGAATGCAGGAATGCTCAAGTTTGTTGAGAATACCTAGATCAATCTAACAAGCACATCATAAAACACATGGTGTGTGGAGTTGCAAGTTTGTATGTGTTAAAGTAAAGCAATAAACCAACAACCACAACACAAACTATATTTAATGTGGAAATCCTCTTAGAAAAAACTACAGAACCATAATCGACTGGAAAAATTAATGTTATGTTTAATATTAAAGGACAAAATTGAAAGTTAATGGACTGAAATGATTGTCAACATACACTGTGCATAGCTTAGCAATTTATGGCAAACTCAATATACGACAGTTGAGATAAAATTTTATCGTCAATTACAAAGACATTGCAATTTGCAAAATGAAATCTTGCAATACCCAATACTTGACGAGTACATCCAATAGAATTCTTAAGAATCATAAGAATTCACCAACATTGTAGATATAATTGAAAAGTTGAAAATTGAAAAGTTGAATCGTAAATTGAAAAGTTGTTTAGTTATAACAACTTTTATATCATTTCCTCTTAAATTGATATAATTCACCAACAATGTAGATATAATGTGTTATCACAAAAAAGGGTATATCATTAGTTTGAATTATTTCCTATAGGTTTTACTTGCCGATGACTATGAAACCAACGAAGGTGTTAATAGGCCATTGCAGACTTTTTGTCCAGTGCATTCGTCTTTTATTTTGTTGTCATGTTTCCTTTTTTCTTTATTACCCTTCTTTCATTTTTCGTACTGCAGCATGTCTTTGTCCTTGTGCGTGTTGATGTCTTAGGTTTTGTAGATATTAGATGTAAAATTGATTAAAATAACAACAAAAATTGTGTGTTTTGATGGTGTAGCATTAGAAGAATATGTATTTTTTTTGTTTGATTATATGTTCATACTTTTATTTGTTAGTTTACGTATTTTGTACTTATAAAAACTATCAATGTTGTTATGTATTTGTGATGGATGTTCTCTCTTTCATGAATATTAGAATTTTTTATATTTATTTTTCTTTTATTTTTTTTTTGTGAATTACTTTTTTCTAAAATTATTAGGTTCATTTTGTAGTAAAGAGAAAAAATTAGTATAAATATTTTTAAAAAAAAACAATTATTTACATCGGTAACTTGCTGACACAAAAGTTTTATTTTCTCTCGTGGAAAAATATTTGCACCAGCAAAATACCAATGCAAATAGTATTATTTGCGTCAGCAAGTTGCTAGCGTATATACTCTAACGTGATTCCTGTTTTTGGCATCGATTTCTTGCCGACACTAATACTTTTTTGCGTCAACTATTACTTCTTAAATCATGGCTTTTTAGTCTCACCTCCATTGGTGATTCAAAAAGTCTGCTTGCCAATGCAAATTATTTGCGACAATAAACAATACTTTTTGTGTCGGCCTGCCCTTTTGTCTTGTAATGTTTCCTATGAGATTTGCATCCGAATTTAAACAAACATAGAGAATTGGAAGGCGACTCACAATTTGAAGGCTTGGTTATTTCAATTGATAGTCAATAATTCATACCTTATTTTTAGTAGTGAGGAGAAGGTTTCCAAGTAGACCTCTTGGATTACTCAATTCAATCCTTTTGGATGCATATAATATTTTTACGACAAATTTGAAAATAATTTGCCTTTGAAAATAGGTTCATGAAGTTTTCATCTCTCTCTTTGAGTCAGTGTCTCTAGAGAACAAAACAAACTACAACATAACACCAAATAAAACATATGTATATATATGCATCCATGCAATCACACTAAAGAAAATTTGAAAATTTTATGTAACTTTGTTCAGACGTACCTCACCCACTCCTCCATAGCAATTGATTTTATCCACATTTCGCACCAATTCATAAAAATGTCAACATTCTACTGTTGCAGTATCAAACTTATTGTTAAAGAACGTAAGATAATTCAAGTTATCATACAAGAATAAGTAATTAATTGACAAATTCAAAAGAAATTAAAGACTAATGCCACTTTACCCCATAAATTATTTTGAAGTATTCACGTTCGCCTCTTATAGATTAATAAAAGCCTAACAAAACACCCTGGTGTTTTTATTTGGTAGCAATGTGTCTCCCAAAGCAAGGTGTCGTTACTTGTTATCTTTTTGTACAACAATGGCAAGTACATAAAAACAATTGGTGTTTTAGGAGATATTCTACCACTTAAAATTTTTTAGAAGGCAATATAAGTTTTTTAAAGTTTTTTGAAGCAATGAAATAAAAATTTAAGATTAAATGCTATTTTTATTCCCCTAAAACTATAAATTCTAATGCGCTTGTGCAGTCGAAATTTGTAATGTTAAAAAATAAGGGGGATAGGAAAGATTAGAAACAAAAGAACATACAAACTATCAAGAACACAAAAAGAAAGAAAGAAATATAAGTAAAAGTGAAAAAAATTAAGAGTTATATTCCCCACTAAAATTAAAAAAAAAACTTCTTCCTTGATGATAATTTTCTCATGTGCATGATTCAAAAAAGAAGGAAATCAGAAGAGGAAGGGAGTACATAGTTGGGTCGATTGCTTTAGGAAGGGAGTACATAATTTTCTAAATGTGACGCGTTCAAAATTTTCATATTATATGACAAAATGTAAAACTATGACAAAATATCATATCATATTTTAAATTTTTATCCAATAAAAATGTGGGATATGGAAAATATTTATATTTTATTTTTACAACACATACTTGAATCCATTAAAAATAAAAAAAATCAGACTGATCCGAGTAAATTTGCCAGACAAAAAGTAAATTTATTATATTTCAAATTCGATTCCAAACATTAATCGATTATATTTCAGTTTACGATTTTGGATATTGGATATATCTAATTTTTATTTGGATTGTTATCTGACCTGAATTATATGTATAAAATAAATTAATTATTTGATGAGATTGTGTCAAAATTACGATTTAATTTGCTAAAACTTTATTTCAGAGTTATTCGGGTCAAATTGAATTTATTTTAACATATTCAAATTTGAACTTTTTATTTTAACGAATTCAAATATAATTTTTTTTTGTTAATGAATTCAAATGTGAATTGTAAAAAAAAAATATAAAATTTTTACATGTATTACATTTTTATCCGATAAAAAATAAAGTATGATACCATATTTTGTCATTGTTATGCATTTTGTGATAAAAAAAGAAAATTTTGAATGCGTCACATTTTTTCATTAGAGAATCTAAAATATTGTACCAAAAAGTGCAGTATATATGAAAGTAACTGTTTGAGATCGAAGAAGCAACAGTGAGGACTTTGGAACGACTTCAAATTCTCGGTAGGAAAATGCATAAAATGTGAGAACTGGAACTCCCCATTTGCAACAGAGTCGAGTGAGGTCCGCCATTCCCCGTACAAGGGCCCTATAACCCTCGTCTCCCTATCGGTAAACCCCTCTTCCGGGCCCACCTCCTGTGGCCATGCGGAGTCACAGAGACATGTTTCGGGATTAGTTCTCGCCGGTGGCCGGCAGGCAATTCTACTTCTGCCGGTCTATTTTTTCCTACTTCACCTTCTTCTTCTTCTTCTTCTTCTTCTTCTTGGGGTGGTACTACTAATACTCCATTCACAAGAAGCTTGCAAAACCTGGGAGAAGAAATTGCAGGGCAAAAGTTCCATCTGATTCTTCTGTTTCATTTTGCTAGATCACGGTCACAGGTAACAGAAGAAAATGGTTTTTTTTTGGAGATGATGAGAGAAAGTAGTGCTGTTTTATGAGTAGGAGCAACCGGGAATCGCATGGACAGCATTTTTGCAACTTTATGCCTGTCTTTTTGTTAGAGTATCTCAAGAAAATGAAAATGATCAGCTTCAGGATAATGCAAACATGGGCTTATCTTTAGAGCCATCATAATCTATTTGCCAGAGTTATCAATATTTTAAATTGTAAATAGCTAGATGTTGATATATTTTAGTTTCTCAAATGTACAGAGATATACTCTGATGTAGCTAACCTTTCTATAAATTGATATCAAAGAAGTAGTGTTTGGTATTCTGAGCCAAACCTTTTCCCCAACTCATTTTCTTTCTTGGTATCAGAGCTACTGGGTTAACACCATCTGCAATTTTTTTTCTTATGGCAGCCACAAGCAATGATGCAGCTACTGTATTTGCTATTCCTAATATTGCTCATCTGGTTTTGAGTAAACTAGATGTCAATAATTATTTGATGTGGGTTTGTCAATTTCTTCCTATTCTTAGGACCAATGGGCTCTTGGGTATTGTTGAAGGCACATAGCCTTGCCCAACAAAATACTTTCAAGATACTGAAGGTAAAATCACTATCACCTTGAACCCAGAATTCATTATCTGGAGAAAAAGGACCAGTATCTACTAAGCTGGTTCATTGCCACCTTATCAGAGAAAGTTGTCACTATAATGTACGGTTTAAACACCGCTAGTCAGGTGTGGACTGCATTGGCCAAGTGATATGTTTCGCCGTCATGATCCCGTATCAATCACTTGCGATGCAAATTATAGAATATTCATCAAGAGGCAAAATCATGTTTTGAGTTTATTCATGCTGCAAAGAGCTTGGCTGATCAACTGGCTATTGTTGGAAAGCCAGTAGAAGATGAAGATCTTATCTCTTATATTGTTGGTGGTTTAAGTCCAATGTACAACCCATTCATGACTTCCTTTGCTTTTGCTTCAAGAGAAGGTTCATTGACTTTAGAAGAATTTCAATCTGAGCTACTTAGTATTGAACAAATGCTTGAAAATCAGAATGCTGCAATTCAACCTGATCTTGGTGCATTTACTATCTATTCACAAAAGCCAAATAAATTCAATCCGAAGCATAAATACGGCAACCACACACATCGAAATCCACCAAAGTTTTTCAATCTAGTGAGAGGTTCAACTCAAAAGAAGCCTTTCAATTCCGCTGCTAGGTTATCACAAGGTAAATATTATGCTAATCAATATGATAATTCTCGTGCTAATCGATCTTCCTGTCAGATTTGTGGGAAAAATAAGCATCAAGCCTTGGATTGCTTTCATCGAACGGATTTTGCATATCAAGGAAGACGCCCTCCAAGTGAACTTGTACCAATGGTAGCACAGTCAAATGTCTTGCGTGAAGAAAATAAGTGGATCGCAGACAGTGGAGCTAACAACTATATTACAGCAGAATTGGAGAATCTCACTCTACAACAACCACATAATGGTTCTGAAATTTTAGCAGTTGGAAATGGTGGTGGTCTTCACATTGCCAATACTGGTTCATCCTCTTTATTAACTCATAATTCTACTCTTTATTTGTATAACATTTTACACTGTCCTAATGCCTCTACAAACTTGTTGTCCATACAAAAATTCTGTCAAGACAACAATTGTTTCTTTAAATTGATTGACACCTACTTTGTTGTGAAGGACAATCTCACGGGGGCGATCCTCTTGTAAGGGCCGAATGAAGATGGTCTCTATCCTGTGCGACTGAAGCAGTTTGCCGTGAATAAAGGACGAGGACATGTAGCCTTGGTTGGAGTTAAAACCTCTATGTCAATTTGGCATAAATGCCTAAGCTATCCAAACAGTCAAATTTTACATCAGATGATCAAAAGCCACCAGCTACCTGTGTCTCATTTTCGTATCAACTCATCTTTATGTATTCCTTGTCAATTGGCTAAAAGCAAAAAAGTACCATTTCAAGAGTCTACACATGTGACTTCTTCTCCTTTATAAATAATCTATAGTGATATTTGGACGTCGCCAATTTTTTCTATTGGTGGATGTAAATTTTATAACGTGTCTGTTGATGATTATTTCAGATATTCATGGTTATTCCCGTTAAAACAAAAATATGATTTGTTCAGTTGTTTTGTGAAATTTAAGTGATTGAGTAAAACTTGTTCTCTTCTAAAATAAAACAATTACAAACTGATGGAGGAGGAGAATATATTTCACATCCTTTCACAAAGTATCTCTCAGATCATGGGATTTTCCATAGGATTACATGTCCTCATACATCACAACAAAATGGTTTAGCCAGAAAAAAAAAATCGACATATCATAGAAACAGATCTTGCTTTGTTATCTGAGTCTCATCTTCAAAAAAAAGAAAAAAAACATTTCAAACTGTTGTTTGTTTAATAAATAGGCTAGCAACTCCTATTATGGAATATGCCACTCAGTACAGCAAGATTTTCAAGTTTGAGCCAGAATATGCAACTTTAAAAGTGTTTGGTTGCACTTGTTATCCTCTATTGGGACCATACACAAACCACAAATTAGAATACCGAAGTAAGCGATACATATTCTTGGGTTATATCTCCAATCAAAAAGGCTACAGATGCTTAAATCTGATGACTAACAGAACTTATATATCACGGCATGTTGTGTTTGATGAACATCAGTTTCCAGCATATAATAAAGTCGTTTCATCACCCTCTTCAAGTGGTTCATCCCAAAATGAAGGTATTGTACTTCTACTTTCATTTGATTTTTATTCTATTAATTCACTTTCCAACCATACTTTATCAGACCCCAACACTTCATTACATGAATCGTCACCTGTGTCACCCAATACTGCGGTCACTCCACATTCTTATCCTACTGATGTGTTCTCCACACACACAAGACAATTCCATAAATGCACAAGTTATTGTTGCTGACACTGAACCCATCATCACACAAAGTTAGTCTAGTGTTCCTTCTGATATCTCTCCTAATTTATCTTCCCAAGTTGAGCCCCTTTCCACTCACCTCATTACTCGATATCAAACAGGTAGCCTTAAACCAAGGGATTTTTCAGACTTTCATTTATATTACTCTACTAAACATCCCTTAAAGGCTCTGCATGTTACTCTACTACCATCTGAG